TTTCCGCATGTAATTGTGTAATATTTGAACTATAAATTATCCTAAACAACTTACTATACCATGATCTCATAATTATTCTATTTAAAAAACTAACAAATAACAAATAACAAAAGCCTCAGATTATTTACGTATCTAATTATATATTCTGTAAGGTAAGACAACATGAAATACCATTATGTGGAATATAAAAGGTTTTGTTTGTTTGTACATTTTTTTTAAATAACAACTGTAGTGCTGGGGTGTAGCTGAGTGTTTGAGCACTTGCCTAACACACAGAAGACTCTTATTTCAATCCCCAACAACACAAAATAAAAACGATAATCACACCGAACTGTCTTGCATTCTCCCTGTCTCCGGGCCGACCTCTCCCCACCCCATTTGGTTGCAGCAATAGGTCCCCCTGGTGGAGATCGAACATATGTGTCCTATTTTTCTGTGGTTCTAAATAACAATTCTAATTTGAGCATTTGATTGTGTTGTTCTTCTTTGAATAAATGTACAGTGAAAGTCATAAGAAAAAAAGATGTCTGATTAAAGACAGTGGGTAGGATAAAGGTCGAATTACCTTCTCTACATGTAAATTCGTACTTAACAATATTCATAATTACAAAATCAAACCCCTTTTACTATAAAAATTCCCAAAAACATGAAGTTTCAATTGATAGTTAATACATCTGCAATATATAATAATGCCTTTTAAAATTAGATTTACAGATAACACAAATCTAGCAAAGATTCATCATATTTTGCATATATTTGTATACATATATGACAAATGATTCCTGAGATGGGAAAAAACTATCATTGTTCACTGAAATCTCCCAAGACAATCACAATGAGATTGTATACACTCTTGGCAATATTCTGTCATCAGAATCAGCGATGCATGCACCAACTTCTATGGATGAGTGAAACAGAAGGTCTTGAAGTGAAATCAGAAACAGGTTCCCATTCAGTTTCACCAGTGGATGACCGCCCCCCCCAACAAGTTCACGCCAAAGCATCATGGAACTCAGACTTCATTCTATAGCCTTTGCAAACCAACATGCGTTGTCAGCTCAGAGCAACAATAGAAATTCCCAAAGCAGAACTAGCTGCTTCTTGTACCCTAGAAGGTCCTGCAGGACCTGAACAGCCCATATCTGTGTAGAGACCACTAAATACTTGCCAGTCCTTTCTCTGCCACTGTCCCACTGATGCTCAATATTTGCCAGCAGCTTCTACTACATAAACCCTGAATCTCTGACTTAGTCACAGAAGCAGCCTGGGAGGCTACTAATATAGTTGGTGTATTTCTTGGAGCTGAATCAACCAGAATCCCTGAGTCACAAGATACTAGGCTAAGTAATATATAATTATAACCCATTCAGGAGGATAGCACTGAGCTACACTCAATTCTGTAGCTAAGGTTGGCCTAAAATCCACTATGATGCCCAGGCAGAACTTTTTTTGGTTTTGCATTTTATTTTTATCTTTTCAAGACCATGTGTAGACCTGGCTGTCCTGGAACTCACTTTGTAAACCATGCTAGCCTCAATCTCAGATCTATCAGGCAGATCTTGAACTCATTCTAATCCCGCCTTGGTCTGAGTACTGGATTCATGGGCATGAGCCACCATAAGCTTGGCTTATGTTTCTGTTGGTATATGAGGTATGTTGCTGAGCCATGAGTATGTAAATTAGCATTCTATATGCATTCTGTAGGTCACATTGTTAACCAAGATCTATTACCTCTAGGTTCTCATCTTTTATCTCAATTTGGATTACTGGAACAGGCTTATGGATTATTTGGGAGCAGGTTATCTTCTATAGTCGTCTAAGGGTTTCTCTCCTCTATAAGCAGAAATCCTTATAACTCACCACATATCTAATCCAATAGGCAACAAGAGGTGGTTGGAAGGCAGGAACACTGCAGAGCAGCAGTAAGTGGAGATTCTGCAAGTGAGCGTTCTGAAAACTGAGTTTGCTTTCTGGAGATCTGGAATCTGTAGGTCTCTATTGTCTAATTGTGGTTAGTCTGAAGATGCCTTTACCTGACCTCAGATAACTAAAGGTGTCTGTATTTATTCTTGTCATTCTAGTTGGCATTTTGTTTTTAATAACCCTAATACATTTTAAAAATCTGCCACTAACCTATTTGTGGGGTGGGGAAAACAAATGTAATTATAAAATGGAAAATCAATTTTAAAGAATGTTTCATCTTTTTTTTTCATCTGAACTGTCCTTTTAAAGGTGGAGACCGTAAGAGATGGCAGGAAGCAAGAGGAGCTTGACAATTAAAACAAAACAAAACCAAACCAAACCTTTGACCCTTAATAACTATCCCAAGTAGCTAGATACACAGATCATAACTTTTAAGCTTATCTCAACCAGCTGTTAATAACATGATTTAGTAAGGTCCTCGGATTGTACTTCCTCCAAATGGATGGAACACTTGGCTTATTAATGTGAATACTCAAAGAAGTCAAGAGTCTCAGGAACTTGAGCCATGTGATGTCCCATACAAATGGCCTGAGCCACAGGCCAGTAATGAGTTGGCAGTCCTTCTGTGCCGTCAGCATCCTACCAGGCTCCATATTCCCAGGACTTGCACCAGTTCCCACTCTATCAGCCCTCTCTGGTGCTCAGTGGCAGGTGCCTCCTCGTGTGCACCAGGTGTTGGGCCTGACCCAAGTATGAAAAGAAAATAACGGTGATAATAATTTACCTCCTAAACAATATCCCAGCTATTCTGGGTCTGTGTATTTAAAAGGTCCTGAGAGGCCCTGAAGATCTCAGACTTTCCAAGGCCAAATAATTACAGAATTATAGGCAGTTAGGCCCATGGGTCAGTAATTTAAACAACAGAATAAGTCTGATTGTAACAATTTACATTTTCATTTGTCTTTGCAATTCAGTTTCACAATGTAATTTCATTTCTTTTTCCCCAAATGATACCTAGTTTTTACTTCTTAATTTTTTTTTCTTTCAATCTTTGGCAGTGGTGAAGCCAATCAGACTTAAAATCTTAAATACAAATCTTACATCTTTTCCCCCACTAATTTTGAGGGAGTTACTTTGTTTTTTTATTGCCACTGTTTAAAATTATCCCACTATCCCTTGGGACGTAGAATTCATAACAATTATCACCCAGCAAGATTATCACAGAAGAAATCTCCCCTAAAGCATAGTCTGGGCCAGTTACTCAGATTTAATTGAACACTTAATCTTCATAGAAAATGAAAAAGGAAATGTAGATCTTGATTAAAACATGGTTGCATCTACCTGTTTGGCAGAGACATTATGCATGAACTTTGAGAATAATCAAAATGCACATTTTATAATGAAAGATTACTGCTCAGTAGGCTAACCCGAAACCTTTACCCCGCTGCTAAATTTGAGGTGGCTTTCAATGGTAGAAAATATGATTTGGAAATATTTTTATCACTTCACATTAATGTACACTGAATGGTTTTTATTCTAAAGAGCCATCTAGAAGTAGGCTTCCATGAGTAAGTCTCAGAAATTTGTGTTCTATAATGTACCTGTCAGGTTTGCAAGGACCTTTTGGAAGACCCTGGAGATAGGCAGTCTATGGTAATGCCACAGAGAAAATGGTCGGTTCTTTTTATTTATTTAGTTTTTTTTTGAGAACACAGTGGTATGTTGGGCAAATGTTATAAGCATATTAAAGTCAGAAATGTCAGACTCCAGGGATTCTATTAAGTATCCCTGATTTCTTTTATTATAGAATAAAGAAAATCTAAAGTATTGTTAATTAAGTATAAAATGAAGGTAACCTGCTGATCTTAGTTTCTATAAAATGACATATTCCTAAAAATCACTGCATACAGAGAAATGTTTATGTATTCTCAGTATAAAAAGTATACTTTTTGAAGTTCTAATAAAAAGGCAAGTTAGATTTTTATGTACGGTTACCAAATAACTAATTGTATTTCTCACTGCAGCAGCTCTCATACATACCTCAGATAAAATAAAGCCCTGACCTTAATTGTTTCTACTACTGTATCAGGCTCAAAGTATTTCAACTACCTCAGATTGTATTGATTGTTCTTTTTTTTTTTTTTTTTTAATTAGAAAAGTCACTTAAATTAACAATACAACTTTCTTCTTAGGAGAGCTTGTAGCATAAGAACATGAACCCTGAAGCTAAGGTAGGGTTCTGTGACCTCCCATAATCTTCTGTTTGTCCCTAACTTCAGTGCGGTAGAATGACTCACTCATACCTGGAGAGTCTATCGCCACTGCTTCTTGATACATCATGAAATGTTCTTCTACCTAGATAAACCAAACCCTTAAGTGTCTTATATGACTTGCCATTTTCTTTTTTTCCCTCCTTATCTTAACATATCAAAATCCAAAATTTAAATCTTTCATTTTGCCAAGAAGTTAAATGATTACAACTGTATCCAATGAGCTTACAGAGGAAATATTCACGCTCAATTTGTCATTAAGAAAACATTTCTAGGGAGAGATGGCTCGGAGGTTAAGAGCACTGGCTGTTCTTCCAGGGATCATGAGTTCAATTCCCAGCAACCACATGGTGGCTCACAACTATCTAAAAAATGAAGTCTGGTGCCCTCTTCTGAGGTGCAGGTGTACATGCAAACACACATTGTATACATAATAATAAGTAAATAAATCTTAAAAAAAAGACATGTTTATTAAAAAATCATTTCTAAAATATGATACACAGAAAAGATGGGTCTATATGCAGAGTACACAGTACCTCCAAAGTGAAGGACAGCACTCTTAGGAAGGAATCAGACCTATACTGCCTTATCTTACTGAAATGCAAAAAGTAAAACCTGATGAAACCTAACGTGATGGACAAATGTGCTATTCGATTGTCATTTGTATTTTCTGATTTATTTTCAAATCAAAGAGAAAGTGCACAGACCTTAAAACTTTCTACCAAGTGTTAACAGATATGAGAAATCTAAAATAGAAAATTTACCAAACGTTAAGATACTAATAAAATAAGTTCTTTATTAATGAATGTCTAAAAAAAGAAACAAAAACATGTGCACCAAAATAAAGGCAATTAGTTAATGCTAAATTTAGAAGCCTCCAAATAATATACACCACATGATTTGATTTTTTTAAAACTTTATATAAACCTGTATTATAAATGTAAAGTTAACTATTAATGCTACTAATATTAATCATACAAAGAAACTTAACAGTACTGAAATGTAAACACAAAGGATGCTTGGTTTTGTTCCTTTTGGAAAAAGAATTAGGTTGGATTTTTTTTTTTGTTTTTCTTCAAGCAGGACTCCAGGCACAGAAAGAAAATATAGACGGTAACTACAACATTTTGGTGTTGATTCTTGTAATTCCTTAAATGTCACCAGTCATTATAGCAATGAATTCTTCTTGGTTTACTGTGGCAAGAAAGACAAGGTAACCATCAGGGACACAGAAACTGTCTTTCCTCAAGAAACACAATCATTTTACAATGTATCAAACTTCATAATATAAAAAAATCTTACAAGACAAAACAACTTTATTTAATGGAACTTCTAAAATAAAAATATATACAAATGTAATAAGCATTATAAATAAATGAGCATTTTATCACAACAGATGATATCTGTTATCATAAAAGACAGTCACAGACATAACATTTGTGCACAGTTTAAACAGTGACAGTTCTAATATAAGTAGTTAAGCAACCATTTTTTTGAATCAGTACTTGACTAACACATTTCAAAAGGCTTCCTTTCCTAAGACTGACTACACCATGCATGTGAACTAACAGTATTCTAAAGAATGAAAATATTTTAGAACTAGAAAAAAATAACAAAATCATTGACTTTAAAAGCTTATTTTTAAAACAGAAATAAATGAAGCCAGGTCATAGACCCTCAAAAACATCAATAGAAATAGTAATTTAAGAAAATACAGATAATTACACAGCAACTATAAAAAAAAAACCTAAAAATACAGGAAATAACCACTCATGATAACCATCTGACACTTTACTAAAACTATAAATAGAGTTTAATTGGAAACGTTAACATATAAAGTATGTTTTAGACAGCAACCTATAGTAAACAGGACTGAACAATCCTAAATATAATTTTTAAGAAGTACACAAACCCTAACATATAGGAGTGTTTAGAAAAGAAAGCTTCCTATGTAAACCAGATGTGGATATGGACATCAAGACTTAGTAAATCTTTAAGGCATGAGCTATAGATGGCAATTATTATGGAAAAAAAAAAAATCACCATATTGAAAAACAAAGACCTAGCTTCCAGTCACAGCTCTGTATAAAACAGTTCTGCATCCCATCTCCTTTTTCTGAAGAGTAAACTGTGAGAGGATTTTTAGACTGTTTTCTCTGAATTCTAGACAGTGATTTACTGAATCATACATTTTCAGGTGTTGAACAAATGCCAACACCGCAAAAGGAACTGTAAATTCATCTAAATGTATATAGGGTTGCTATTCTATAGTACATCTGAATCAAAGAGAAGTGAACAGATGTCACTCTAAAACTGTTCCTAATTTAATGAAATGAATGAAATCTGAAAGATCTTATTCTCAGTCACTGGGTGCTAACATATTAGAGAGTCACATTCTTAATATGTGATAAGGTAAAGTTACTTTCAAGTGGTTTAGAAAATGTTGAGTTCAAACATATGTATCAGGAATTCCAGAGCTAGTACAATAATTACAATAGAGGACAAATGCATGAAATCTAAAATGCATTATAAAATATGGATACACAGCATTGGAAAATACTACTGTGGAAAAAATCATTAGTGAGAAGATTTTAGATATAACCAAATCACACCTTGGATTGTAAGTTAAAAACAGAGCATTTTAGAAACAAATTGTAAAGAAAGCCAAGGTGGGGAATGGCCACACAAACACAAGAAAAGAACATGTACCCAGAAAGATTAAACCATGAGACAAGAAAAATGAGATGTTTGGGAGCAGGCAGACTTCCACAAACTCCAGTTCAGTCTTAAACATTTACATGGCGTTCTGAGACGTAGAAAAGATGGAATACAAACCTCTTAAGCCAACTCAAGGATATGAGAAATAAGAGCTGTGACCTCTACACATCTGAAGAGTTTATGAGAATATGACCTGTTCACCTCAACTAAGAATTCAAATAGAGACCTAAGTCAGTGTGGACTCTCATCTAAAAACCCTTGACTGAAGCAATCTACGTTGGGGCTTCTAGGCCAAAACAAGAAGCATGTTCTTAAGAAAGCAATAAAAGGGGCTTCAAAATGATTTGAGTCTAAATCATTTAACACTGTAACAGAAATTGATTATAATACTCAAAATCTAAGTGCTTAAGTTTTATTCAGAATTTTACTTTTCTTAAAATATAAAATTTCAATAATCAAATTTCAAATGTCTTCCAATAGAAGTTCTAAAACCACAATGCTGTTTGGTATCATTTATATATACTTTAAGGTATAATAGCATTTCACAATATTTTAATCTCTTTCCATGATTTAATTATCTAAAAACATTTAACACTTAAGTCTAAAAAAGTAAAACACAGAAAGTAACTAAAGGAACCAAATTCGCTCCTTAACTACCTGGGGGGCTGCAGATGATAAACCAGGTTTTATAAGTTCATCAAGAATCTTTCTAAAAATCTAGCAAAATACCTAGCTAAAAAATAAACTTGGCCATCTGAGTGGAAGAAAGATGGCTGAGCTACTGAAAGCATTAGCCACGTAAGCCTGATGACCAGGATTCAAGGCCCCAGGACCCAGGTAAAAAGCTGATGGGAGGTTGTACATCTCAGATGTGAGAACCCTCACAAGCCAGCTAGCCTGGAGTACGTGCCCCAGAGGCAGAGACTGAGTGGCCATCTCTGTAAGTAGGTGAGAAATGACTCCCAAACACCACAGACACACACATGCACATACACAGACACTAGTATTAAACATTTATAAGAGCAAGTAAGTTACTAAAGTTCACAAAAGGCAGCAAAATATTTGTATCTTTAGCAGTTTGCTCTTCTAAATGCCATGAGCCCTCAATGGAAACCTCAGCAGCCACAGACACCACTGTAGAAGACAGTGTTTCAAATGTACTTGATGGGGAAGGGGAGAAACACTTGCAACAGATAAACTGGGCAACTGGCACCCTAAGACAAAGAAGCAGCAAGACAAATGCAAACATACTGTCTTCAGGATACATAAGACTCTGTTCACGAGAGGAATGTGGCAGAAATAAAACCAGATACTAAGTGCAGGACTGACGTGGGGTTTTATACCTTTCTGTGGGTGTCTGAACACAAAAATGACAACACTATAACCTACAGTTTAGGAAAAGAATGTTATCTACAGAATGAAAAAGAAGATTTATCAGCCCAGAGGGCAGTTAAGACTGTAGGAGACAACAAAGTATCTGTGCAGGACAGGAGGCACAGGGAACACTGCACCCCACAGGCAGGCAGGGAGAGAAGTTGGTGATATTTTAAATATATTTCAGGGCCTATAACAGAACAGCAGAGAAAGAAAAAAAAAAAAAAAAACAAAAAAAAAAATTAAAAGTGGTTGAAAGAAAAATCAACAAATTTAGTAATAGTTCAGAAGTGAAGGCAATGAAATATAAAATTTTAGTAAATAGCTAAATTATGGTGATATTTCATCTTCAGAGGAATGGTATTTTATACTTACATAGTTTTTGTTTGTTTGTTTGTTTTAAATATCTGCTTCAGTATAACTAGAAGCTTACAGAGTCTGGTACCAACTGGACTCTCACCTACTTAAAAGGCTGAGGCAAAACAATTTTAAGTACAAGATCAAATTTGAAATAACTTCAAAGTAACAGAAGGTTCATCTTCAAAAACAAAAAAGAAAGAAAGTGGGGGGGAGGCGAGAGAATTTGCTTGGAGTCTTGATAATCAACAGATTTCAGAAAAAAATAAGGCAAACTTACTTTCTCCATCACCATCTTTATCAAATTCTTCTATCATAGCCCGAAGTTCTTCATCACTCATATTTTCACCCAATTCTCTGGCAACACGTCGCAAGTTCCTCAAGCTGATTTTACCTGAATCATCATCATCAAATAGTTTAAAGGCTTTCAGTATCTCTTCATGTGGATCTCTGTCCAATATCCAGTCTGTCACTAGAGTTAAAAGAAACTTTTTAAATCAAGTCTGTACAGTCAGAGGACATTTATTTGTAAAAATCAACTAACAGTTGAGAGTAACAGCTGTGGGTCTGTCAACATTTAGTCTAATAATTAAATGTCAAGGTAGACCAATAAAACTCAGAAATAAAACCTGAATGCCAAATTTATTATTAATTTTAGTGTCTATAATTATTATAAATGTAGGCAAAACTACATTTTACAAAAGCCAAGACAGAGACCCTATTTATAGAAATCAGATATACCATTAAATACACACACACACACACACACACACACACACAATATTTATTTAAAGCCCACTGTTGTTAAGAACAAGTCTGGGGATGAAGATGGTTAAGCAGTTAGAACCACTAGTTTTTACAGAGGACATGAGTTCAATTCCCAGCAAGCATATGGCAGTCCCAACAGTCTATAACTTCTGACCTAGGCACCTCGCACACATATGGTGCAAAGACACATCAGTTTGACACATAAAGCAATTGTTAAAATGTTACTGGCTCCACCTCTCCCAGGACACTAAGTTTCAGTGAACAATTAGGCTCGCCAGAAAAAGCTGTTAGCTAATGTAATACCCAAGTTCTTCCTCATATTTAACCAACTCAGCCTGAGTCAATTAGCTAATGTAATACCCAAGTTCTTCCTCACATTTAACCAACTCAGCCTGAGTCACTGTCAATCACCAACATAAAGCACAGCACAAGTTAGTGCTGGCAAATGCTATCAGTACCCTTTATGATTAAAGAACCAGACTTTCAAGAGCACTGAAGACGGGTAAAACAATGAAACCTAATCATAGTAAAATACAACCAAAAGCTCTTGGAAGGGGGTATGAATTATATCAATTTTTTAGCAAAATAATAATTCTCAAACTAGTTAAATAGAAATAAAGTCACTCAAGATTTCACTAAAAGTAGCTCTTAGTATATTAAAAAATAAAACCACATGTCAATATATTGTTTACATATAACAGCAAAGGCCTTCATCAAGTCATAATAAAAATTGATGTCTATGTATAAAATTTTATGTTGCTTGACACATTTCTCAAAATATCTAAGTAAATATTTCTGAAGTAACTCCATATGCTATTCTGCTACTACAAGAAAAGACATTTATTATTTTCATTCTATCATTAAAAGTAACTTGTTCCTACTGGGATCTATAGATTCATTTGAAAATGTCAAATACCTGTAGATAGAAAGTACTACAAAGTTTAATGAGCCCACAGCAAAAGCTACAATTTAATCCTCTACAAGTTCTTGTCTATTGCTATTGCATCTGTATCTGGCTGAATATGAACCTAGTCAATTTAATGAGGCATCAATAACACATATACCCAAAATTATCTTTTAGCCATTAATTTTATCCAAAAAGAGGTTTCCAAGAAACTAATTGAAGTCTATTACTATAAGTATGCAAATCAAATCTCATAAATATTCAGTAAAAGGAATTGGCATACCTACAGCCATAACACCAAAATAAAATACCACACTTAACTCTATGGCACACACTCAACTTATTTTGAATTCAGTCCCAACAAGAAAGCAGGACAAGAAAAAAAGTGTTATGAAATTATCATCGATTAAGTAACACACATGACAGGTAAACCAGAAAAGCAGACTGCTGAAAATATTAATGCACTGAGAAACAACAGATGGGACACCAACATGTGCAGACACTTACCCCACTGGCACTCTGTATTAGTATTTCAGATACATTTGTCTATAGAATTGCCTAACAATACTCTCGCACAGAATGCAGCTATCTTAGTATTGCCTCTAATTCTGAGCAGCTAAAGCATTACCCAACATAAAGTATTTTAGGGTGAATCTTCTCCACACTTCACCTTCCATTTCTGTTCTACAAGTACAATTTCTTGGTAAGACATCTCCTCCCAACCCCCGATGGAAACAAACCAGGCATGGTGGCTCACACCTATAATCCAGTAGGAGGATTTAAAGCAGTTAACACACACAGTTGAGATAGCACCTGGTTAATAAAACTCCACATTTCTGTCCATGCAACTACTTTTTGTTGTTTTAGTTTTCATACTGCATTGGCATGAAGTACACTAAAACCAAGCACAGGGTACAATTTAACTATACTGTGAGAAATATTCCTCCATCAAAAATGTCAGACCTTACGAAAACCACACAAGTGAACAGCAAATTCTGAAACACTGAATTAAACATAAATCATAAATCATGAAAGATGTTAGAAAGCTCCTATCCAAACATACAATACTTTCTCAAACTCAAAAAATGTTGGACTTTTATACTATATCCACTCTGCTGCCTCCTTGTCCCAAAGGCAACTGTATCATTTACTCACTTTGAAATAGTAGTAACACTTTAAATCCCTTAATTGTCAGTTAATTATCCAATTAATGGACACTACCGTTCTGAAGATACTATCTTGTTTACTCTTAAATAGAACCCTTTGTCTTTTCATCCTAACAATACTGAACATCAAGTCTAGAACTTTCTGTCTCCCAAATCTCTTCAGCACACCTTCAATCTTATCAGCTATTGTTGGAAAACACAATAACCCATAGCTTAAATCTGCTGACTCAAGTCCAATCTTACTTCACTGTGGAAGTCGGTCAGCTGGACCCAGTGCCTACCATCCTCTAGTAGAGGAGACTGCATGATGTCAAACTTCTCAAACATTCTGAGCAGAAAGCACACTCCACCACTCTGCTTTGTTACTTTTCTTATGCCTGGTCTGCATTCCCTTGACTCCTACAGTCTCCATGAAAATCTTAGATTCCTAAAGATGTAAAATAAAAATTTCCTTTTGTGAGCTGAGAGATGGCTCAGAGGTTAAGAGCAATGGTTGCTCTCCCAGAGGGCCTGAGTTCAACCGCAGAAACCACACAGCGGCTCACCACTGTCTATGACGGGCCACAGGCAAGCCGAACACTGTACACATAATAAAGAAATCTTTTTTTAATCCCCTTTGCAAAGACTTCATTTCTCTGGATGAAGACTTGACAGATATTTCCTGTAAAAGACCTGATAGAACACATTTCAGGCTTTCTGAGGACCAAAGCTCACAGTCTACACTACTCAACCATGGTAGGAGAGAAGCAGCATAAACAAACGGGAGGCAGCACAGAGAATGCAGTCAAATTCAGCCCCAGAACTACAGTCAAACAACCTAGGCCCCAGACAACAATTCTCAACTACCTATGCTTAAATTCCAAGGTCCTCAAAACAATTTTAACTAACTCCCATTCTTCTCATCAAATGCAAAAATTTCACTGTTGGATAATCAAAATGAAAACAATATAATATTGTATTTTAGGTAGAACTCAAAAATGTAGGTAGAGCCAGCCAGGAACAGATCTTACCTTAAAGGCAGAAGTTACTGAAACACCTGCTACTCATTAGCTTCAGGAGAATGATGCCAACTACCCCTGCACTGGGCATACTTATGCATTTTTCTCACAGCGGGGAAGGCCCACTAAGTAGTGGGCTCATCTGAAAATATCTGTGGGATAGTGTCCTTAGGCAACAACAAATGGTCCATAATGGTGACCTCTAGGTAGTATGGAACTCTGTGCTAAAATACTAAAAACTGCAATTCTTAAAATATATTTATGATGGGAATTGCATTGAATCTGTAGATTGCTTTTGGCACATGCTGGAGAGGTTGTGGAGAAAGGGGAACCCTCCTCCACTGCTGGTGGGAATGTAAACTGGTACAACCACTCTGGAAATCTATCTGGCGCTTTCTAAGACAATTAGGAATAGTGCTTCCTCAAGACCCAGCTATACCACTGCTAGGTATATAGCCAAAGTTTGCTCAAGTACACAAAAGGGATATTTGCTCAACCATGTTTATAGCAGCTTTATTTGTAATAGCCAGAACCTGGAAACAACCCAGATGTCCAGCAACGGAGGAATGGGTACAGAAATTGTGGTATTTTTACACAATGGAATACTACTCAGCAATCAAAAAGGAGGAAATCATGAAATTTTCAGGCAAATGGTGGGATCTAGAAAAGATCATCCTGAGTGAAATATCCCAGAAGGAGAAAGACAAACACAGTATATACTCACTTATATAGACCTATAAGATATGATAAACATAATGAAATCTATACACCTAAAAAAGATAATCAAGAGAGGGGACATGGGGTAAGATGATCAATCCTCGTTTTGAAAGACAGATGGGATGTGCATTGAACATTGACAGGAGTCTACTGAGTGCATTTGAAAGACTCTAACTAGCAGTGTTTTCAAAGCAAAGACTCATGACCAAACCTTTGGCAGAGTACAGGGAATCATAAGAAAGAAGGGGAGTTAGTCTGATGACGAAAGGATAGGAGCTCCACAAGGACCAAAGATATCTGGGCACAGGGTCTTTTCTGAGACTGACATGCAACCAAGGACCATGTATGAATGTAACCTAGAACCTCTGCTCAGTTGTAGCCTGTGGTAGCTCAGTAACCAATTGGTTTCCCATAGTGAGGGGAACAAGGACTATTTCTAACAGGAACTCAATGACTGGCTCTTTGGCCTCCCCACCCCCCAAGGGAGGAGCAGTCCTGTTAGGCCACAGAGGAGAGCTTTGCAGCCAATCCTGAAGATACCTGATAAAACAGGATCAGATGAATGGGGAGGAGGTCCCCCCCCATCAGTGGACCTGGCAAGGGGCACGGTGGAGATGAGGGAGGGAGGGAGGGACTGGGAGGGAATGAGGGATCGGGACACAGCTGGGATACAGAGTTAATAAAATGTAACTGACAAGAAAAAAATAAAATAAAAATATATATATATATATATATATTTATGATCAAAAACATTTTATAAAAACTATGAATAATAATGCTTAAAGTAGCCTTCAACAATGAAAAACAGAAAATCAGACAACAAGGATATAAATAGAATGCTTTAATGTACCCATACATTTCCAACTTCTGAATTCTGAAGCAAACGAAACAAAGCACCCCAGGCCCCCTTCTCTCTGCGCTTTTCTTGGAGACAGGGTCTCCATAGCCCTGACAGGCCTGGGACTCCCTATGCAGATCAGGCTCAACTCTAGCTCATGCTTCCTCCTGAGTGCTGAGATTATTCTTAATCATAATAACAGCATTTAGTACCTCTTCCTGTAGACCATAGCCTTTAACATTTCACATGTTAATCAACTACTTAACCCTCTCAGAATCCTATGACACATTATACTATTATACTATACCCATTTTATAGATGAAAATGAAGCACAGACAAGTAAACTAACTTTCAGACATTGAGTCAGAACCAAGATCTAAACCCAGGAAATCTGGTTCCAAGATAGCCTATACCAAAGCACTACACTGCAGTGCTTTTTCTGTGCCTCAATTATAGTTTTGTGGTGATAGCATCATTTCCATTATGTCCTGACACCGCTTCTATACATCCTAAAACAATCAACCTTGGGAGAACACGTGCACTGTGAGGAGAAAAGTAGCTCTTTCTTCTCAAGCAAATAATCCTACAAATTAGAAGGGGGAAAATAAGTATGCTTCTAACATGGACCAGCTACCTCTCTAAGTAGTCAGATCCTGGTCCTAAACTGAGGGTCTTCTACATTATGAAAAAAGTTTCTTCCTCTTAGATTTGTCATGTTACTTTTGCCTTCTGTACTTTTGGTACAAGGGGTGAGGGAAGAAAGGAGGGAGGAAAAGAGAAATGATGTGACTCTATTTTCAATGTCTTTTCACTACCATTTCTTTTTCTTTCCCATATTACTTCTCCTTTAATATTTAAGTAAGATTTTGTGCATATGTATAGGTGTATTAATTTTCAATTTTTTAATACATGAAAATAACTACATGATATGCTTAATTATAACCCCTAAAACGCTATCATTGGTTTAGAATAGTAATCTAACAAAAATAAAGCTAAATATTTATATAAAGTATGTATAATATTGTAGGCAATGTATTTAAGTAATATATTTAAGCCAATTCCTAGCCTTCCAAAATCCTCTATTGAAAACGCTTTGCCTGTATAAATCATGAGTAACTCATTAAACCTGCCCTTCAAGCTTCAAGCACAGTAGGCTCCCACCATCTTCAGGCAGAATTTCTAAAATAACTTCTCATGCTTCCAGCCTGCTGAAGACTTCCCTCACAACAGCCTGTCTGCTGCCTCAAATGCTCAACAGGCGACACTCACACTGAGATTAAGGTTATCCAGAGTACAGAGCCTCATAAAGTGTCAATTTAAGAAAATGGACTTCATCTCCCACCAAGACACCAAGTCCTACTTAGCTCTTTCCCAACTGAACCAACAGAAATCACACAGCACAGAGGTCTTCAAAAACAGTGCCTAAAAATCAGGATACTAATCTTCTGTTTTACTACAAGAAATAAGTTTTGGTCACCCTTTAGTGACATAAAAAAATATTAGTAAAATATAAGATGTTAGACAATAACTTCTTGTTAAAAATTATCAAAAGTCAAAGCTAATTCTCACAGTATAGCTGAACATATAAAAACCTTATCATTTACCAAGAACTACTGATTTCAAAGACTACTTAAGTACACACCAACTTCATTAAAGTCTTCAAAGGTAATCTTGCCCGTGGCTTCTCTGTCATAATCTTTAAGAATCTTCAGCACATCAGCCTTTTTCACATCAAAACCCAAAGCTCTCATTGCCACCTTTTGGATTGAAAGGGAAAACAAATTATAAGGCACTCCTTACAAAAGAAGTAATCACTGATTCCTAAGAAAGTTCTACATCTCAAAAGATGACAATACATTATTAAAGCACAATTACTTGGCATTTTTTAATCTCTAACTTAAGAAAATGATACTATATTGGTTTTTCATTTTGAAATTAAATAGAATTTTTTCCATTGACATTTTGCTGTATACTAAAAAATTTACACAAAATACATAGGATAATGCATTAAACACACAGATAGCAATTTATTTGTTACCACGGGATTAAAGACATGTCATAAATATTAAAAGGCTAACCAAGAGAATTAAAAGAAGTAAAAAGCATAAAAATTTCAGGCATGCACAGCAGATAAAGTGGAACTTTACTATCTTACCACTCAAGATTCTGAGACAGGCTTGTTATAAGAGGTTTGAGACTAGTATGGGATACATATAAAGATCCTTTCTCAACAAACAAACAAATGGCCTCCCCGTCAGAACATACATAATTAGCTACCAGGCAATTAGTTTCAGATGACTGAGTTTTAACAGAAAACAGCTGTTAATAACAGGAAAGGAAAGCCATGTTACTGGTTAGTGAAGTCTTATAGAGTCAAATCATTCCTCAGTGATTAGATAAGGTTGGTGGAAAGAATGTGGGATTAAAACAGATGCTGAAACAAAGACTAGGACAGAAGTACAATGAACAGAGCTGTTGACCTTCTCCAGGTGGGAAGTGTTTGGATAGAAGTAATTAATAACTGGGAAAAAATATAACATTAAAACAAATACAAAAGCAGAGGAATCTTTACTTTAGGTGCAGGAAAGGTTTATGAGCAATGAACATGGTCAAAGGTTTAAGAAAGATGCAAATGTAATGGTAAAGGGCAAACGAGAAGGAAGCTTCACCAAGAAAATGAAATCCCAAACCGTGATGGTGACAACAACAAATGGCTAAGATACTATACAAAAATATGTGGGGAGAGCAGCAGCAGCAACAGAACAAGGGGATGGGGTAAGAGCTAAAATTTGACCTCCAGACTAAGGCTGAAGCCACAGGCCTGTATTACTTTTAGATACTCTGTCCTATCACTACATAGTTCCTACCCCTCCTTGAAATCCATAAAAAAATCCCTACAATGTTGCCAAATTTAAAGCTACTAAATGAACATTTAAGGCTACCTAAAGATATCAAAGTATTATCTTTCTCACTATACTGAACATAAGAAATGTAAGACCCTTACCAATTTCTCCTTCTATCTTTACTAGTAATTTTAAGCCTTAAATTTGACATTTTCCCTCAGCATGTACCAATATTAGGCATCAGCCAATTTATGTCCTTTGTAACAGTGAGAAGTAAGACTAAGAGAGTCTCAGTATTATCATAAAAATTAAAAGCTTGACTACAAAATTCTCAATCTCAAAAACGTCTCAGTTAGGGCAACATTCTCTGAATCTCAAAACTGTTTAAGCTGTGCTTAAGAGATAGCTTAGTGATTGCTCTGCAACCATGAGGACCAGAGTTCAAATCCCCAACCACTCAGAAAAAAAGGACAGGCATGGCTGCAGGTACCTGTAAAACCAGCATTGAGGAGTGCAGACAGGTGTGATCCCCGAAGTTCACTCTCCAGATGGCCCTGCTAAAGTGATGAGCTTCTAATTCAGTGATTTACCCTGTCTCAAGGCAGTAAGGTAAGAGTGACAGAAGACACACAGGCCTTATCCTGCCCTCCACATGCAGCACAGCCTGATATGCAGGCCTGCACGGCACACGCCACATACACAACATTTTTTTAAAATCTGTCCTCCAAAAGAAACTAAAAAAAAGGAATATGCTAAGAACTGTTTGTTTCTTTAGCTGCGTGAATTAACAAGTCATACTTTCCATCAGGATATACTTTTGCATTTAAATGCAATTTTCTAAAAGCTGTATTAGGGTTTCATTCAGTTTTATTGTAGCACTTGTGGGTGAGCACTGCAAACAAGCTTTTAAAATAAACTTTAAAGCAACAGTTAAAAATGCAATTATTTAAATAAAAATGTGTCTTGAAGTAGACTGTTACCTTTAGTTCATGATAATCTATTGCTTGGTCTTTGTCAGTATCAAAGAGCTCAAAAGCATCTTTAATTTCTTGCTTCTGTTCTTCAGAAAGTTCTCTTCGTTTTTTCCTCTTTGTTTTGTCTACCACAAGCTCACCTCTATAACAGAAAAATGTCTTTAGTCCACTTTGACGCAACTCACTTAGGGCAAAGAATGATTTTTCTGAATTTCATCAAAGCAGAGTAGTCTACGAATAAAGAAAGTGTCCCCAAGTCAACATTCTGTAGTCCACATGTACTTTTTTAACAGAAATTCTAACCAAAACCGAAAGAACTATACTTATTATTCATGTCACCTACCAACAGAATAAAAAAAATCCATATTTAGTAAAATTCATAAATGATAACCAGGATATACTTGGTTTACTGTGGGCAGCTCATGATTAAATTCTCACAATTACTACCAAAATCAACAGTAACACTTGAAAAGTTACTTTAGCACTGTAAATTGGAAATGTGTTTAGATTATACATTTCTAAGTGCTCTGTGTTGTTATTCCACTGATATTAACCAGCCAAAATATAAAAGTGCCTAAACATACAAATACTAGACGCCCCAAATAATAGCATCTAATAGTCGTGCTTAAGTCTACTTGAGGTTTAGAAGTGTTGTAAATCTCACTGAACACGAAAGTGGTAGGTTAAACGCCTTCATTTAAGAACGCCTGAGAGGCTTAAGGAAATCTAAAAGGGGCCTGTGGAATGAGAGCGTCTGCCTCCGAAGCTGCCGACGTAAAGGCGGTCCAAACGTCTAGACGGAGGGTACCCGAGAGGCAGCAGGGCAGGCGCGGCCCGGGACCCCACCGGGGCTGGCCACACGCTCGCCCTACGCTACCCGGCGGCCCGGGCGCCTTTACGCTGGATGGACAGCGAGGGGAGCCAATGAGGGCGGGGGTGCCCGGAAGTGGGGGAGACCACGGCTCCGAAAGCCACCCGAGCCGGCGGGCGCAGGCGAGCCGCCGACCGGGGACGAGGGCCGGCGGCTCCGAGGCTCCAGGCAAGGCGGCGGCCAGGCCGGAGGGCCGCCCACGCAGGGGAAACCTCGCGAGACTTGGCGGGAGCCGCGGCCTCCGGAAGGAAGGCGGGAGCCTCCGAGGCTGGATGCCGGGCGCCCGGTACCCGCCCGGCCTGGCTCCCCTCCACGCCCGCCCTGGCCCGCTAGGGAACGGAGACTCGGCCTCCTGGTTACCGACCTCAGAGCTAAGCTCATTCTCTCTTCCGACAGAGATGTCCCGCTCAAGGGCTTTCCCAGGGGCGCCGCTCAACAGCCGCCAACCTCACGGCCTCGGCACCACCCACCGGACAAGCTTCCGGGCGCGATTGGCTGGCTTTCGCCAACGGTCGGCCCACTGGTGCGGAAGCGTCGCTGGTCCTCCGCTTTCACTGGTCAGCATTCCTGTCAATCAAGGACACATTTCGGCCCGGCTGCCTCCCTGGCCCTCGGATTGGCCAGATGCATTCCCTAGTCCCTGCGCGCGCGTGCTGGAGTCACTACGCTGGGTTGAGGCCGTCCAGGCGAGGCTCCACGCGCGAAGTGGTGTTCTGGAGTTCCGAGCAAGCAGAACTCGGAGTGCAGAGCATCGGGCACAGACAGCATCGACGGAGGGGAAGGAAAGGGCACAGCACAGCAGCCTGCCGCAAAAGAGGAGCAGTCACTGGGGAACAGGTCCGCGAAAAGCTCCGCAAGTCCCTGTACTTGAGAAAGTTAAAACTTACATGGCGTCATTCTCCATCCTTAATTCAGTAACTATCAAGCTGAGCGTTTCCCCACTGCAACTTTGCCAAGTAATTTTAAGGCGGACTGGATTAGGCTTGTCATTTTATTGGTTTGTTAGGGTTATTTACAGTGAAACTGTTTGTCACCCTTTTCTTGTGTTTGCTTCTGCTCCACACTTCTGGTGCTGTCAACTGTTAATGTGATGTCATCGTCACTCCCCACCAAGCTCGTGAAACTCACTTGGATCATCAAGGTCTTGTGGAAAACTTGGAAACTCTTAGCTAACCTACAGTTCTCATAGGTATAAAACAATAAGTTGGGGTAGGAGTTATAAAAGGAAAATACTACTTATAAAGCTTGTATGTGAAGGAAGGGCACTGTGTGATGGGCTGTGTATATATATATTAAGCCTGGAGCGCAAATAGGAATATGGACAAGTACAGAGAGAGGTTAAAGCTAAAACTTAAAAGCTAAATGATAGCAACCCTAAAACCAAAGTAGAAAAAATTTAAAGTGCTCACTGGGCATGGTGGCACACACTTTTAATCACAGTAGCCAACAGGCAAAGTCACTTGAGTTCAGGACTAACAGGGTTTACATTGCAAGTTTCAGGCCAGCCAGTATTACATAGACTCTTCCTCAAAAATAAAAAATAAAAATTAAATAATTCTATTAATAATCAAGTTTAAAGGGAATGTAGATTTAATTACATACTAAAAATACTTTTGAAAGAACTACTGGAATTTTAAGATTGTAAAACCAAGCCCAAAAAATTATTGAATAAAGATGAAAATAAACCAATTCTATAAAGTGTTTGAAACAAAGTACAAAATAAATTAGGAATTACTGAAAAGTAATATGAAACATCTTAAAGAAACTTAATAAAATTAATAAATTGGAAAAATATTTTCATCATTTAATATTAATCTTATTCTTGTGACAATAATTTCACAGAGTAATAGTGAAATAAGAAAGGAACTATTTTTTTTTTTCATGGTTCCAACAAATCTTACCAAATATCCCCTAGAAAGCCCAGTGCCCAACATTTGAGGCTTTCACCAAATTAATTTTTTTTCTTTTTCTTATTAGTTACATTTTGTTAAATGTATCCCAGTTGTATCCCACTCCCTCATTCCCTCCCAATCCTACCCTCCCTCCCTCATCTCCTCCCTGCCCCTTTCCAAGTCCATTGATTGGGGAGGACCTCCTCCCCTTTCATCTGACCCTGTTTTATCAGGTATCTTCAGGACTGGCTGCAAAGTCCTCCTCTGTGGCCTAACAGTACTGCTCCTCCCTTAGGGGGTGGGGAGGTCAAAGAGCCTGCCATTGAGTTCCTGTCAGAAATAGTCTTTGTTCCCCTAACTGTGGGAAACCAATTGGTTATTGAGCTACCACGGGCTACATCCAAGCATACATGGTCCTTGGTTGAGTGACAGTCTCAGAAAAGACCCTGTGCCCAGATATATTTGGTCCTTGTGGAGCTCCTATTCTTTCCACGTTATACTAACTTCACTTCTTTCATATGATTCCCTGTACTCTGCCGAAGGTTTGGTTATGAGTCTTAGTATCTGCTTTGAAACACTGCTAGGTAGAGTCTTTCAGATGCCTTCTGTGGTAGACTCCTGTCATACATTCAATGCACATCCCATTTGTCTTTCTGAGTGAGGATTGATCATCTTACCCCATGTCCACTTTCTTGATTATCTTCTTTAGGTGTATAGATTTCATTATGTTTATCATAACTTATAGGACTATATGAGTGAGCATATACCGTGTGTGTCTTTCTCCTTCTGGAATACTTCACTCAGAGTGATCTTTTCTAGATCCTATCATTTGCCTGCAAATTTCATGATTTCCTCCTTTTTGATTGCTGAGTAGTATTCCATTGTGTAAAAGTACCACAATTTTTGTATCCATTCCTCCATTGATGGATATCTGGTTTATTTCCAGGTTCTGGCTATTACAAATAAAGCTGCTACAAACATGGTTGAGCAAATGTCCTTGTTGTGTGTGTACTTGAGCAAATTTGGGGTATATAACTAGCAGTGGTATAGCTGGGTCTTGAGGAAGCACTATTCGTAATTGTCTGAGAAAGCGACAAATTGACTTCCAAAGTGGTTGTACCAGTTTACATTCCCACCAGCAATGGAGGAGGGTTCCCCTTAATCCACAACCTCTCCATCATGTGTTGTCATTGAGTTTTTCATCTTGGCCATTCTGATGGGTGTAAGGTGAAATCTCAGGGTCGTTTTGATTTGCATTTCCCTGATGGCTAATGAGGATGAGCATTTCTTTAAGTGTTTCTCTGCCATTCGATATTCCTCTGTCGAGAATTCTCTGTTTAGCTCTGTTCCCCATTTTTTAATTGGATTACTTCGTTTGTTGCTTTTCAGCCTCTTTAGTTCTTTATATATACTGGATATTAGCCTTCTGTCAGATAATGGGTTGGTGAAGATTCTTTCCCAATCTGTAGGCATTCGTTTTGTTTTGATGATGGTGTCCTTTGCTTTACAGAAGCTTTCAGTTTCATGAGGTCCCATTTATTGATTGTTGTTCTTAGAGTCTGTGCGGATGGTGTTCTGTTCAGGAAGTTGTCTCCTATGCCAATGAGTTCCAGGCTGTTCCCCACTTTTTCTTCTAACCGATTTAGAGTATCTGGTTTTATGTTGAGGTCTTTGATCCACTTGGACTTTAGTTTTGTGCAGGGTGATAAATATGGATCTATTTTCAATTTTCTGCATGTACACATCCAGTTGGACCAGCACCATTTGTTGAAGATGCTGTCTTTTTTCCATTGATTGGTTTTGGCTTCTTTGTCAAAAATCAAGTATTCATAGGTGTGTGGGTTTATTTCTGGGTCATCTATTCAATTCCATTGATCCTCCTTTCCTTTCTGTTTCTATGCCAATACCATGCAGTTTTTATTACTATTGCTCTGTAGTACAACTTGAGGTTGGGGATGGAAACACCTAGAGATGATCTGTTGTTGTACAGGATTGTTTTGGAGATTCTGGGTTTTTTTGTTTCTCCATATGAAGCTGAGAATCTTTTTCTCAAGGTTTGTAAAAAATTGAGTTAGTATTTGGATGAGAATTGCATTGAATTTGTAGATTGCTTTTGGCAGGATGGCTGTTTTCACAATGTTAATCCTACCAATCCATGAGCACGGGAGATCTTTCCATCTTCTGATATCTTCTTCAATTTCTTTAGTCAGAGACTTGAAGTTTTTCTCAAACAGGTCTTTCACTTGCTTGGTTAGTGTCACCCCAAGGTACTTTATGTTATTAGTGGCTATTGTGAAAGGTGTTGTTTCCCTAATTTCTTTCTCGGCCCTTTTGTCTTTGGTGTACAGGAGGGCTTCTGATTTTTTTGAGTTGATTTTGTATCCTGCCACTTTGCTGAAGGTGTTTATCAGCTAAAGGAGTTCTCTGGTTGAATTTTTGGGGTCGCTCATGTATACTATCATATCATCTGCAAATAGTGACACTTTGACATCTTCCTTTCCGATTTGTATCCCCTTGATCTCCTTTAGTTGTCTTATTGCTCTGGCTAGGACTTCAAGTACTATGTTGAAGAGATTTGGAGAGAGTGGGCAGCCTTGTCTTGTCCCTGATTTCAGTGGGATTGATTTAAGTTTCTCTCCATTGAGTTTGATGTTGGCTATAGGCTTGCTTTATATTGCCTTTACTATGTTTAGGTATGTGCCTTGTATTCCTGATCTTTCCAAGACTTTAAACATGAATGGGTGTTGGACTTTGTCAAATGCTTATTCGGCATCTAAGGAGATGATCATGTGGTTTTTCTCCTTCAGTTTGTTTGTGTGATGGATTACATTGATGGATTTCCGTATGTTCAACCACCCTTGCATGAGAAAGGAACTATTATTATTATTTAAAGTTAGTGCTTAAAAAGGGAGGTTTAAATAGGCCAGCAAGATAGTGCATTAGTTAAAAGCACTTCCCATACAAGCCTGATGACCACAGTTGTATCTGCAATCCCACTGGAAACCCATTGTAATGAGAGAATCAGCCCTAAAAACTTGTGGTATGACCTGTGGCACACATACACAGATGCTCTTGCATACCTGCACACACACACAATAATTATTATAAGTTTGATGCTTCTAATGCATATAATTATAATATATTAAAACATATAACATGAAAAATGAAATAAAAATGAAGGTAATTAAAAGTGGGAAAGGTGAATTTGATCAATATAGACAAAACAAAAAAGAAATCTCTCCACAACTAAAAATTATTCAATCCACTTGGATTTTTGTGTAAGACTTTTTAAAAATTCTTGAGCTAATTTCTGTGTTCTAACTTCAGTGCATGGTAATTGGGGGATTTTTATCCTATGGCAAAAGTAGCCAGCAAAAACCTTCAAGATCCTAAAAACTTATGCAGTCATCAAAGTCAATAGTGCTTACAAACGCCATGGGTTTTTATCTATTTCTCCCCATCTTTTCTGGAAAGCTGCCAAGACATAATTTGCCTGCCCCGGTGTTTTTCTTTTAAACTAAGGAAATGGCCTTTAAAAAGAAAAGGGGTGGGGGAACCTCAGTCCTACAAAGACAAGGGATTGATTTGGATTGACAGTC